CACTGACCAGACATCTATGCCACCAAAGCCGCAGCAAAGTGACTCCTCACGGTTTCTCTTTGAAGTCGACAGCCGCTCAAAATTAGGGGGTACATCGGAGGCTGGCACAATCGGTAGCACTGCCGGCACTGCGCCAAGCATCGTTTCGGGTTTCGACGAGACGAAGCTCCAAGTTTTGATTGCGGAGGATGACCCCATCAATTCGAGAATCTTGCGAAAGCGCTTGGAGAAATCTGGTCACCAAGTGTCCCATGCTGTCAACGGCGAAGATTGCGCCACGGTCTATCAGGAGAGGCCTGAAACCTTTGATGTGGTGTTGATGGACATGCAGGTATGTCATACTAACCCCTAGAGGCTTCTCTGAGGCCGACTGACGCCTGGACTCCTTAGATGCCGATTGTAGATGGCCTCACAAGCACAAAGATGATACGTGCCCACGAAAAGTCCAGCGACCATGGCGGGCACTCAGCGATTGCAACTCACAACGGTCGTATTCCAGTATTTGCAGTTTCTGCATCTCTCATCGAACGAGAGAAGGATAAATACATCGATGCCGGATTTGATGGGTGGATTCTGAAGCCTGTCGATTTCAAGCGACTCAACACATTGCTCTTGGGAATTGTCGACGATGAAGTCCGCGTCTCATGTTTATATGCACCTGGACAATGGGAGAAGGGCGGCTGGTTCAGTACTCGTAACACTGAGGAGAAAAAGGACGACGGCATACCGACACCTACAGTAACTCCGCGGCCTGTAGACAGTGACACATCTGCGGAGATCACAACGGATGGAACCACAGATCCATCGCCAGAGATTGACAGTTCCAGCTAAGCTTGTCAGTATCTATCTGACTAGCAGCCGACATTGACAGTTGACACTGGCAAAAACACAGTTTGGAGATTGTGCTGTGCAACGGCTTTTCTTTCGACGTTTTCGGAAGACATTGTCAACGGATATCCGCGGTGGCATTATCACCAACCGCCACCTGAATAACAGCAAGATTTTGATGAACCCTACTATTCGAGAAGTTGTGCAAAGTTGGCATTCAGCTCAGCAGCGAGGAGATGATGTCAAAGACGACATCGGCGACATTGCCATAATGGCTGTTGGCGAATACGGAGTTCATGGGTCACTCAAAGGAATGGGCTCAAAACAGGACACAAGTTTGTTGAAATATGATGAAAATAGATTTCAGGGGAAAACGGCAATGATACCATGGCAAAAGCATACGGATTGCATGGGGAATGGAACCCAGGGGGGGCTGACAGTCTTAGAAGGCTCAGCACTGGGCGGCGTTTTCGAGGTTTGCGCAGTATACATGATATATCACGGTATTAAACGAAGCATACCATTTGCGAGTCTCATTTGCGAGGCATGCGTCCTGTCCGTCTGTAGTTGGAAATTGCCATCTCACGGTTCCGACTACCTTAGTATGTCCACGGCCTCGTAAGATGGTAGCGTTGGCGGCGCACGAAGCATTAGGATGAAGAATTGTTTCACATATTTCAACGCATTTACTGGACATGTGTCCAAGAATCGAGACACTTCTGTCGCGCTCGAATTGGGTGCGCTCCACGAAGCGCGCTGCTGTAGATAACCACTGAAGCATCGGGGGTAATGCAACACTGGCACGTGGCAGGCAATCGTCTGTCGCGACGGCGATGACGCGGAAACCAATCAACAGAGGTATTAGAAACCCTCGACACAATTGATCTACAGATTCATATCTGGCCAAAATATGAATGACGATTTTGGTGCGCATATGACCCGTCACAGCAAGCCGATCCCGATGTTCTACAGATGCCCTCCAGGCGTTCAATATTTGAGAATTTGATTTGCACGCTGCCGTGACATTCAAACTCGCTTGGCACGTTGAGGGTTTGTCAGATTCGTCACATGTATCAGATTTCCCGGCTTCAAGAAGCGATGATCCTCCAATGCACCCAAGGGGGGGTGACTTGAGTCAAGCGTTCTGCTCAACTCAACTTCAGGAGAACCCTGAATAGTGTGCATCCGTAGGAGAACCGTACAGAAGGCGTAGGTGTCATGTATACCCTATAGCCTGGGAGACGGTATGTTGATAGGAGAAATAAAGAACGCCTTTTCGGCCGTACACGGGGAAACGTTTCCACTGCCCTCTTGGTCAAGGATGAGGTTTGGGTGCTGGTGACGAACCACGAACCTCGAAGACACTACGACCGACATGTTGCACGGACTTGCGTCGAGACAGAACGAGACAGAGACTGGACACGACAAGCAGTCGATAGTAGACGCTGGCCCACGACGGCCAAGGATCCTGTCCCGGGTACGGCAGCTGGGCAGGGGAGAAGCATCGGAGCCTGGCATGGGTGCGACTCGTGCTCTTCCACCCGTCTTTGCGTCTATAGTTCATACTCTCTACATGGTCTATTAAAGGACGCTCGTTGGTCGAACTAGCCAGCGATTTGCACAAGGACATGAGGCGTTTACTTTGGTCACTTACTCAACTTACCATTGCCCTTCTTATCGCTTCGATTTCTGTTTATATAACGGAACATGGAAAGGTTGGTATTGGAGACGAGAGAGCAGAGGAAAAAAGGAGCAACATTGGCATGCGGGCCGTGCTGGGGTTGCATGACATGATGACTGAACGTCTGGTTGCAGTAGCTTCCGAGGTGGCCCGCTCCCGCAATGAGGAGCATCGTGCTCTATGATTCGTCCTTTCCGCATCTATAGAGGTTTTGAAGCATGCCCTCTTCGTCCCTCGCACGTGTCAAGCATATTAATCGATGGAAGGGTGTATTGGTAGAATGTGTGGAGCAAGATTGAGTTCGAGTGGGCGAAGCTGATATAGCGGCATCAATCGCTTATCAATCTCGCCCTTTTCGTTTACTCGCGAGGTAAACTTGGTAAAGAGAACGATGTTAAACCCGTTCGTTTGATAATCTTGTGACCGAAACTGTTGACAACTTGTCGGGAGAACCAAGTGCCGTTCTTGCGGGAGTGGGGAGACGAAGAAAGAGTTCAAAAGGATGGGATAAACACAGGCAAATATGCGACCCCAAGATTTCGGATAGACACCCAAACCAAGAAAGACAAAAGAAAAACCCCGCCTAGATGTCCTCCATAGAACCGACTTTTTCCTTCCGAGATGGTGGGATGATGGATGGCAGAGCGAGAGGACTGAGCGCGGTGGACCAACTCTACCCGGCTGGGCTTCTGCAAGATTCGCATCATGATTCGATGCGTAACCTACCTCCGGAGTCATCGAACAAGGTCCTCCGCTGTCATCGCAAGCCTTCTTGAATGTCCGTGCTTTTTTTCTTTTTTGTCATTGTAAGGTATGTATCCATATCCCTCTTTTCTTAAACAAAGTTCCAACCTATGGTCGTTCCCGTGGCTTATGCTGGCGGCCATTCTTACGTCGGCTCTATGTCTGTGTGTTGTGACAAGGGCCAGCAGGTGGCCTAGAAGAGATGCTTCACAAGAGGACAGCGATGGGAAGAAAACTCTGATAAACATCCGATCTCTGTATCCATGACTGGCGTCTCTTCTCTCTTCCCGAGATAGTTATAGTGCTATATATGGCAGTCTGCCTATAGGCATTCGCTTCTTTAGTTCTCGCAACTTGGCTTTCCGCCATTTAAACTCTGGTCATCCCTCGGGAAGTGTATTATTGAGGGTATAGCTCCGCTTCCTCGCTCCCTCCAATCTCATAGTTCTCTCATTTGTTCATATTGGTCGAGTTTAGTGATCAAAGGAGTGCGAACATGAATGTGTCATCTACTCATGAACTCGAATATTGGTTCGCATAAGCCTGTTTTTGGCCTGTGTGAACTCCTAGCAAACCCCTCTTTCTCGCCCCCGATACCACAAAGGCAGGGAGTTGAAGAGTCAGGACAGCACCTGTCTCCTCTATACTGTGTTGTAGGTTTGCGACTCTACGTGTGGAGCCTCACGCGATGTAGGTGGGTTAAGTTGACCCCAGGGAAGGGAAGCCCCGTCAACCTGTTTCCACCTCCGTTTCCTCCATGCTGAACGTCGCGCGGCTACAAATCCGGCCGCGCTCCAAAGTCTGCCATCCCTCTTACCCTCCCAGGATCAGTTGCCCGGCTTTACAGGCCTTCCATGTGAGGAGGTGTTCTGTGTAGAAAATGAATGACTCGATTGCGACGGGCAGCGGTCATCTGCTGGGATGGGATGTGCTGGGCAGCTTAGACCCAAAGGCAATTCCTCGCGCAAACGCTGTTTGGAAAAGTCTGGGTATGCCCGTTCATGTCGTCTTAATTTGCGAACACCCCCCATAATGGACTGAACTGGTTCGTTTGCGTTGCCTGCTCCTTTCACTAATATCTCTCGAGTATCCCCGACAAACACATAGACAATCTCCGACAACCTCATCCTGTTCAACCTGACTTTTCGTTTCCTCTCTTACATCCTTTATCTGTACGGTGGTCTTGCATGGGCAGTGCCCGTCATTCAGTTCCTCAGTCCCCAGCAGGAATCCGGCCCGGTTTAGCTGTACTGCCTGTTCTTTCCTGTTGACGCAGCCATGGACACAACAATCCCACTAGAAGTTTATCAAGATGATCGAAGGACCACAGTGGTCGCATCCGTGGTTTTCTGCATCTTGTTTGTGACGGCGATGGTTGGTTTGAGGATCTACACGAGAACAAGGGTTATCGTGCTCTTTGGTATCGATGACATACTAGCTGTTGTGGCTCTGGTGAGTGAAAGTGACGGTACCTGCCTGAATGTCGAGATGCTGAGTCTGGTTCATTATAGTTGGCAACAACAGGTTGTGGCATAGCCATCGCACTCAGTAAGTCATATAACCAAGCCATATTAAGAAAGAAAGATTAGCTGACGACTATAAAAGTGACCAATTATGGTCTTGGCAGACATATCGTCGTCCTCAAGCCAGCGGATATAGTAGAATACATGCATGTAAGTAAAGTAGCACTTGTCTCAACGCAGTAGTGACGCTGTCTTGGATCTCTCAACTAACACTGCAATCCAAGATGTTCTATATATCCATCGTATTCTACAACATTGCCCTCCTCGCCATCAAGCTCTCCTTCCTTTGCCAGTACTACCGCATCATGGCCGTACCCCGAATGCGTAGAATCTACGCAGTCGCCCTCCTCGTGGTCGGCGCCTGGTCAACCTCCCAGGTCTTCATCGCCGCTTTCCAATGTCTTCCAGTCGAAGGATTCTGGGACAAGTCCGTTGTGTCGCACTGCATCCCCAACCAGCCGCAGTGGTACGTCAACGCAGCTGGAAACATCATCACCGACGTTGCCGTCTTTGCGCTGCCGTTGCCGATTTTCTGGCATCTCAGCCTGCCGCGGAAACAGAAGGCACTCCTCATGGGCATCTTCAGTCTTGGTTTCTTGTAAGTCATCAACATTGGAGATTCTGTCTCGCGCACGAGAATGCCTCGTTTGTCCGTTTAGTAACACCCAAGGCCAGCACTGTCGCCATCTCGATCGTACGCATCCAGTACCTCAGCACACCGGCAGACTTCACCTGGACCAACGTCGACGCCTCGCTCTGGTCCATCGGCGAAATATCTTCGGCCGTCACCTGCGCCTGTCTCCCGACGCTCCGTCCCCTCCTGACAAAGATGTTCCCAGGTCTGATGAGCAGGGTCAACATCACCTCCCTCCACAGCAACCAGACCGACACGCGGCCGGGCACCCACCCGACCCGTCCGTACTCGAACCTCCCCAAGAGCTTTCCCCGGGATGCGGAAAAGGGGACCACGGCCTCGGGCGTATCTAGCGCGCGATCCAGCCATCTCAAGGACGAAGGATCCTCCGTCACCCACGGGTCGCCGTATCAGCACAACGTCCGCGCCAACGAGTCCAGCGATACGATTTTCGGCCTGGCTAGCGTGCGCGGAGATTCCATCACACCCGTCAAGTCTAACTTCAGTCCCTTGAGCCCCAGGCCAGCTTGGACTGTCTCAACTTCCACAAACTCGTATCCCGTTCGAAGAGATGGGACACCCTTTTGAAAAGGGAACGGTACTAGTAAGATGGAGTGTCGGGGCATGATCGAGTCCAGGATGTCTTCTCAGCGTTTTCAACACGGAAGCTGGTTGGGTAATATCTCTGCGGAATCTAATCAGATCTTCCACCAATATCACGCTCAATGTGGCGGCGAGAAGATTTGAGCTTGAAAGTCTACGGGAGACGCAGGCGTCGTCCTTCGAGACTGGCGGCTACATCCAAAGAGTTGAGTTCTGAGTGGATTAGGTTTTGCGAACATAAACACGACGGGCAACCGCTGCGGGGGGATTTAAATGGCGCTGGTGTCCTCACGCGTCCGAATAATGATTTAAATAATGATGTATTATGTCTTATGTGCTATGTGTTATTATGTCTTACGTCTTATGTCTAAATGAGCTGCCTGTGACAGCATCGCGTACATTTGGGTATCTCAAAGCTGCAGCACGTGACGACGGTGCATGATGGCGACTACACTCATCGTCCAAACCGCCACCATGGCTTCTTCTCGGGCTCTTTGTAACCCTCCTCTTGAATATTGTTCTTACCGACAATATTCAAAAACACCTGGTCCAAGGTGGTCGGCGAAACGCTGAAATGATTGATACCCAGCGCCCCTTTCTGTTCTTCCAGCATGACAGCCAGTTGGCCAACCGCACTCGACGAGTGACTATCTGCCGGCGTAATGTCTCCGACCTTGTCACCGCCAAACACTTCGAGAACCTCTCTGCCGGGAACGGAAAAGCGCATTTGACCGTGGTACGTCTTCTCCTCTACGTCAGCCCCCGGGAACGTGGATGTCACCCAGTTACGAAGCTGTGCAGTTTCCTCAGGCGTCGTGTGTGGTGCCGTTTTGCTAATTAGATGGACGTGGAGTGCGTCGCCGAACCGATGACGGAGATCATCTGTCGTGCCCAAAGCAAGCATTCGCTTGGCTAAAATTCCTGCACGGTCTGCGAGAGCATCGGCCTCCTCCATACTATGCGTAGTGAGGAGGAGAGATCTGCCCGGAACGATGGCCGCCAGAGTCTTCCACATAATTCGCTTGGCGGCGGCGTCCAGTCCAGACGATGGCTCGTCGAGTAAGATCACACTAGGGGATCCCATCAATGCGATACCAAGACTCAATTTACGGGCATTCCCGCCACTCAAGGCCGCCGCCATGCGATTTGAGAATGCCTGAAGACCAACAGCGTGGATGACAGTATCGACGTTGTAGTGAATATCGGGGACGCCTCGGATGCGAGCGTAAAACTCGAGATGTTCCCGGACAGTCATCAGATCCAATGCATCGTGCTGAGGGCAGACGCCAAGATGAGATCGAGCAGCAGGCAAGTTGTGAATGACGGATTGATCTTCAACCAGGATCTCACCACCGTTCCGACTTGGCTTGAGGTCTCCGCGAATGAGCGATATGGTAGTTGACTTGCCAGCGCCATTGGGCCCCAGAAGGGCAAAAACCTGAGAACGCTTGAGCCCAAATGTTACGTTGTCGACCGCTGTATTCTTGCCAAAAGTCTTGGTCAGATGAATCACCCGGAGGCCGTCGTCGCTGCCCGATGTCGTAGTCACTCTTTTCAGTTCGTTTGTGACTTCCTCGTCGGCGACGCTGCTATCATCCGATGGTCCGTCATACTTCCGCTGCCAAAGTCTCCGGACTGAAGAGCCAACGGAGCCACTATCAGCCCACAGCAGAAGTGCGAACAGAAGGATGGACTGCAGAACCAAGTACAAGATTGGCCCGCCATATTGAAGAATGCCACCAGGATATGCTGCTAGTTGTCGTCCATCGCAAGCCGTTGAGAATAAGTTAAGAACCAGGAACATAGCCCGGACGACAGAACCAATAGGTGCAAAAGCCGAGATGACAAAGTGAGCAACTAGAATGTTCCGATCGACTTTGGGAACTGGGGAATACGTGATAGTGCACATATAGGCTATCAAGTAGACCAAAAATAGAACCGCCTGTCCAGCAGCTACCCAGGCATAAGTAGACAGTTGCGTCTTGCACCACAGGGATATGACATAGGCCAGTAGAATTGCAGTGAGCCCGTAGAGCATGAAGACAAGAAAGATGTAGCCGATGTGGTACCAGATGCCGGATGAAACAGCCCAGATTATGGTTACCAAAGCTGTTGACGCAAGAACGATGATGAAGTCAAACGCCAAGTACGCCGCCCACAAGGGCAAAACTCGAACTCCATTGCTGTACTGCAAGGCACGAACCTGCCGTCGACGCTCCAGACTTGGATACAGGGCGAAGAAGCCGGGGTAGCAGGCAAGCGCGATTCCAGTATATACAAGGAACTGTAGCGAGTTGCCATCATTGGGCTGCCAAGGCGTAGCGAAGGGTGCCCACGCCATCATGACAGTGACGTTGCTGAGCAGCATGTTCAAGATGTTCTGGCTCAAAATAGGGTTCAGTAAACCGTTGTAGTTCGACATGTATGCAATGGTGGGCACCGTGGAGTCGTCTCCTAGCCAGATGCCGCCAGGAACAGTCTCGACCCGCCGTGCAACCACAGTGTCTTGAAAGGCTCTGAAGCTGTCCGTAAAAGTGGCGTTCTCGGCGAGTAGTTGCCTTGCGAAGTCGATTCCGGTCCCAGAGGTCGATCCGTTGCCAGAGCTGCCGGCAGCGGCGTTGAATACTGGCAGAAGAACGCTGGCGGCAGTGTTGAGGTCAAATCGTGAATTGGGTCCAAGGACTAATTTCCATGTAAAATCCGTCAGACTGAATCCTTGCGTCTGGTCGAGCGAGCGCTCTTCAGAGGGAGCGCAGCCACTTTGTGTTTGGCCTTTGATAAATAGGGTGACGAGGCCAGCGGCTGCAACGGGTAAGACGAATGCTGCAAGGTAGGGAATCCAATTTGTCTGTAGGATTGTCGTTCGTTTCCTGAAAAGTATAGCAGCCTGCCGCATGTATCCAATTTGCTGACCGCGTAGGAGTTGAAGTCCAGCTTGAGCAGTAGCGCCAACGTCGCCAGCTACCCCCTTCTCATTCAGATCCGAACCTGAATCAGGGACCATCTCGCTCGCCTTGGAATCGTGGATTTCCTCAGCCAATTGAAGGAAGACGTCCTCGATGGTGGGTCCGGAGAAACGGTAGTCGTGAAAGTTGTTGGCTTCTAAAGCCCGAATCACCTGCGCGGCAAGTGACGAAGACGGAGCGATATAGCTAATCAGATCAAAGTGTATCTTCTTCTGAACTCCTTCGATGTCGGGTGTGCTGCCCATACCTGTCTCCTTGTTCACGTGGACTCGGTAACCGCCACCCAGGCGATCTTTCAACTCAACTGAAGAGCCATCAGCACGTAGCGTGCCCTTGGAAAGAATAGCGATGTGGTCGGCAAGAAGATCAGCCTCGTCGAGAAAGTGTGTTGTGAGGATTATCGTCCGTCTTCCGCGCTCGGCTAGTAGAATATCCCAAATCTTGCGTCGTGACAGAGGGTCAATGCCACTCGAGACCTCATCGACGCAGCAAACTGCGCTTCCTCCTGTGAGCATCATGCCCAGTTGCAACTTACGTTTCTGACCGCCTGAAAGCGACTTCGACACAGCTTTTGCTTTCGTCTCCAAGTCAACAGACCTTATTAGGTCTTGGATTTCCTGCTTGCTTGCACCTTTGGCCGGGGACTTGAGCCTGTTGAATATCTCGATATGCTGCTCCACGGTCAGGTCATCCCACATAACATTCTTCTGCGGGGCGATTCCTAGTCCACCGGTACCGTCAATAGTAATGGTGCCGCCTGTGAGTTTGCTTGTGCCGGCAATAGAGTCCAACGTTGTGGACTTTCCGCTGCCGTTCGCACCAAGCAAGCACAGGATTTGTCCTTTGCGGACATCCAATGTCAGGCCATCGACTGCGCGAACGGACTCGCGTGGCTTTGAGATGAAGGAAAACAAACGCCGGATCGGAGAAGGGCTGTAGACCTTGGTGAAGCCTTGCAAGCGCACAGCCGGCTCGTCAGCGTTGGGTTGAGCTTGAGCACATTTAAACACAATCGTCCTGCCTTTGGTAGTAGTGCCGTGCAAGGAAGACTCGATGACAGCGCCGAGCAAAGGGTACACAAAGATTTGGATGATCAAGAAAACCCAGAGAATAATGCCGGAAATATCCCACGGGCTCTTGGGAGCGACCTTGGAAAGGTCGGCTGGGAGGTCTTCTCGCTCCCAACGTGCCATCCAGGTAATGAAGTACACATAGTTGCATGGCGTGAAGAGAAAGGCGAGAACACCAACGGCAGCGGTGCTAGGGTAGCTAATGGACTGTGCGAGGATTCCAAGGAGAATGATGGCGAGTACGGCTGCGATACCGCTGATCTGAGCCTTCTTGAAGAGTGACGATGCCAAAATAGAGAGAGACGCCATGGCTATGCCGTTCAGAACATGGTAAATGAGCACGATGCCAACGCTGGTGCGAGCGAAGACGCCGGCACGCAGAACTAATGATCCTATGATCCATCCCGGAAGGTAGACGACGGTGAAAGCGGCGTGGTAGGAAATGATCCGGGCAGCCTGGGTGAACCACCTGTGTTTGACGGGCATCATAGCATCAACAAGGCGGATCATGCCACTCTCGCGCTCGGTCGCGATGAAGCCAGTGAGATGGTATGTGATGAAAAGAACGCTGGTCATAAAGGCAACGCCCATCCAGTTCGTGATGGCACTCTGATAGTTAATCCTAACGCGGACGGCACGCTCTTCTTGGGTCAGGCTGGTAAAGGGATATTCGTCGACGGTGCCGGGGAGAGGGCCTTGCTGGACAGAACTGGAGGCAGAACCGGAATCGGCCTGGACGGAAGCAATCGCTTCATCGACGGCTCTCTGCAGTGGCAGCAGGTAAATCTGGGCATCGTTTTTGTCCGAGTCAACGTCAATGACTATGCTTCGTAAGGCCCCGTCGCTGCGAAGGGTGTAGTTCCAGTAGTCTCCGGGTCCTTCTGAAGGTGAGGACTGGAAGACAACGGCCCCGTAGCAATTGGAGACGCCTCGAAGGTTGGTAGGACAATCAAGCGAAAGCTCAGTGGCGGACGTGCGGCGGAGAGCGGTCTTGCCAGCGCTTTCGACAGAAGTGGCGAGTTTATCGATGACCTTGTCGATGTCACCTCCAGAAAAGCCTCCATTTACAAAGACGACTTTATGTCTCCCAGCGCTGGCGGCAGCATCGAGAGCATTTGGGAGAGTGCGAATATGCCTCGGATCAGAAACGCCATACACAGCGGGAGGAACAAAGAGGTTCTTTGCAAAGCTGAAGAAGGTGGTCAGAGCTATGGGAAGAATGAAGGCGATGAAGATAGCGGAGATGGCGTGGCGGAATATGATTTTCCAGTTCTTCAGTGTGAGTGTCCATGTTTGGCGTAGGAACGCCATGTTGGGCGAGCGTCGGCCGATGGCCGTGTTCTACTTTCCGTTGCCTGCCAATGTCGTCCGGAGTTTGGTGTTAAGGGAGAAGGCCCAAGTCGATGATCAAGACGAAGGGGCCAGCTGGTAGAAGGAAGGAAGGTCTGCAATACGAAATGTGCGCGATGTTGAGGATGTCGTTGAAAAAGGGTCAAGTCCGGGGTGCCTGGACATGGGAGAAGGAAGAATCGGAGTCAAAGCGACGGGAAAAGAAAACAAATTGCGATGCCGCTTTGTAATGAAAGTGGTCCCTTGAGGATTACGCCTAGGCGCAGATTCAGGGTCGGTAGAAGGAAGAATCAACGACTCAGTGTTTCTTCGTCTCTACAGAGTCGAAGTAAGACGGATTGAAGTTTTCTGAGTAGGGTCAGAACTTCTTTTCCGGACACCTGGGATGCTGGGATGAACATCGGAAGGTCTCGAAGTTTGTGCAGATTCGGGATGAACGCGCCGGACGCCACCCGGACAGGAAAGAAAGGCGTTTACTGAAGTCCGTACGGCCCACGTCTGCGCCTGCAAGGTGACCTACCTTAAGGTACCTTAAGTTACGGGATGACAGGGGCGCGCGGCCTCCACAGCTCGCTTAGAGCCTGGAGATGAGCGTGGAACGGTAGAAGCAGCAGCCACGCCGCCAACAGTTCGGATACCTTATGGAAAGTCACCCTGGGCCCGGGCAAACGTTGATTTGCGTTTCGGGCGGTGCCTTCTCCACTCAACCTAAAATGATAGGCCAGACTGCCCACCGTGCACTTTCCCGTATAATCGTCGTCGTCACTACCTCCAAAAGTTCAACACCCAAGAATCACCAAGGAACCTTGGCACATGCTTACCCGAAAGAGGTTACCTTACGGCAATTATTGTCATGAATTTTACTAGGTGTTCGTATTGTGTATGCCTAGGTAGCTTGGTCAGATGGGGACAATTGGCAGAGTTGAACACGATAGATCTCGTACGATGCCGGCGGAACACGGCACTTGGACTGGCATCTATTTCATAACAGCATTCATGTTCAGAGGACTTAACATCCCAAGGGAAACGATGAAGTTGGAAGGACTACACATCCGGGCGAAGGCAGCGTAATTCGCCATCAGCTTGGCGTCTTGCCTAGGCAAAAAAGTGCTCGTTCGTAGTCGTACGTGCGAGGCTTGGACGGGATTCGTGCAATCCCGATGTCAAACAGTTCTTTGCCCGACTCATATGCAGCAGACTGTAGTGGTTGACCACGCCCGGCTCAAAAGCGATGATGCCGTCCAAGTAGGCCCACAAGTGAGATACCAATGTCCCACAAAACAACGGACTTTGGCTCGGAGGTATGTATATATACCGCAGGACATTACAGTTGGCTGGCGGCGTGATTCAAGGTGAACATTCTGCCCTACTTGGCTGTGATACATGCAGACTGTACGTGTTAGGTATTCGATACCATATTTATAGATATCAAGAGCCTCACTCGTCGAATTCCTTGGTTTCGATGATAAGCCGTGGCAACTGCTCCCATGTATTCGCAGAGCCTCCAAGTTGCCGTCGTGTTTTACGTTCCAGTATTCTTGAGTACGCCATCGGTCCAGGCATGTTTCGGCACAGCCTCTTAGACCTTGAGCACGTCGTGGCAGCAAGCCAGGCAGACACAAGTTAATAACATCGGCCAACAAGTCCGAGGCTCTGGAATTTGGCTGCCTTGAAACTTATCTTGACCTTTTTTCTCCTCTTCCTGGAATGAGATAGATAGCGGTCCTAGTCACTTGGACAATATAATAGATCAAAACAAATAAGCCATTGTCATCTCTACCATCATACGAGATAATTTCACTTAGACAGTAACAATCCCCTATGCCAAAAGGACCTCAAACCTCCTCATTCCTCCGACTCCCCCAAAACCCCTTCCCGTAACTCACTAAAATCTCCTCCCCCTTCCCAATACCCCCCTTTCCCCGTCCATTCTTGCCCTCGGGAAGCACCCACACAGCCATACACTTCTGCCTCCACCTCTGACACCAAACCTCCCGAAACTCCGCATTCGGCCTCTCCCCGACGCCCCGATAATCGTTGATGAACCGCGCCTCGTTCCCGCCCTTGTCCGCGTCTACCGCTACCTCGGCCTCCCGGTCTAACCACAGGTCGTAATCCGACTTCTCCATCTCGGCCTCCAGCGCCTCCCCGGAATGTACCGTGCCCAGGTACGGCAGGACAAACGTCCCCGGCTTGAGGTGCCGCGTCGCAAAGAGCCCACACTGACCCTGGGCTGGGTGCCCCGCGTCCGTGATGGGCGTGATCTTGACAAGCGGGCTGGGGAGCACGGTGGCTTGCGCGGGGATGTCGGGCACATCTGGTGGCTTCTGCGCAATGGCTTGTCGTTGTGCTGGGCTCAGGAGCTTGGAGTGCGCCGGCGCCGAAAGGTATGGCAGACCCGAGGGCCAGTTTTTGGGCTGTGACATGACCGATGGTGGGTGGCTACATGCAGGGTTTGGTGAATTGTATGCTTGTTTTGAGGTACGCGCGTATGCTGGGACAAGCCCGGATGAGCCGACAACTGAGTGAAAGGCGAGAATTTCTCAATGTTGTGATACTGGACTGTAAGTGTTGTCGAGACTGAAAGGTGAAAGGCAGGACTTCAGCAACGACCGCCCACTCAATTGGGGTGGATTAGGTTTCATAGTGGGTTGACTCAAAAGGCTCATGAACCTACTACAATCGACTTTTCCATCCCAGGACCTCATAATGCAACAAGAGGCAAGAACCCGCATATCACACTCGCTTGAGTCACCCAAATTGGTAGAAACGATTATTTTGGTGCTTCCGACAGTACAACGCCATACAGGCAAAACATATAGGATTCTGGAGACGCCAGAATGCAGCTACGCCTTACAACATACATGATACATTATTGCTTCCTTTCCCTCCATTTGGGCAGTCGTGACGCCATGCCCAACTCCAGAAAGCAGTCTCCCTCTACACCCTAGCTTCTCTCTCTATCCATTTTCTCATATCGCCTATCTGGCTCCGGCCATCAATCCTTCATAGTAGGAAAGACCCAGTTGCAGTGAGTGTTTGAGGTGACCGTCCTCTGTGACGGGGAGACCCAATACGCGAGGAACGTCCTGCAAAGGCAATTCTGTTAGTACATTGCGTCAACGAGAAGTGGTCCTCGGAAATTCTTACCTGGTCTTGTCTGGACGTCTCCACCATGACTTTGGCCACTGTTGAGCTCATCTCCGAGATGGCTGCCATACTCGTTACATTGGCACTCTCTGCATGCTCGCGCATGGCAGGAAGACCTGCAACCAACTTCTCGAGAGTAGACGAGGAGACCTGTTGTCGCTGCCTACGACGATCCACAAGCTCCAAAAAGGCCTTGTAGACCTCACCACCCAGAGTCCAGCCTGCAATGTCGTTTTTGTGGTCCTCGAAACGGGCCAGAATGGAGGCTAGTTCGTTATAATCGCGGCTGATGGCGGCAGAAGGCGCAACCTTGTGCACGAAAACCTCGTGGGCCTCGAAATATGAGCCGGCACGGAGAAGACACTGCACTTCGGAAGCAGCATCTCTCTTCACCGCTCGCATGAAAAGAGCCTGGGCATCCCAAATCCACGCGGCCGGCACTTTCAGAGTATGAGCGAGCATGGCAAAGTTACTTCCGCTTTCCGGACCCAAAAGAGCAGCATGGCGGCAAAGGTTATCCTGGACAGCCTTCGCCCTTCTATCAGCCTGGCTGAGATGCAGTAAAACAAAGGTAGCCTCCAGCCAACTGCCCTCGTTGATGAGCTGATCAGCAAAGGAAATTGTCAAAGCGTCAGCCTTTTCGGTCCCGTCGCGGCCGTAAGACACCTTGCCAGTAGAGAGGAGCGCGCGGCTGAGTTGCCAGCTGAGCCGGACGTCCAGTGGTGATAGCTGGCTGTTCTCTGGTCGCAAGACAGCCTCCAAGTCGGTCTCGCCGTCCGAGTAGAGCTTGAGCAAACCCCACAGGAGGTCCTCCCGCAGGTCTTGGTCTTGGTCTTCCCAGAGTGCCGGAATGCCTTGCTCAACATACCACGTCTGTGGACGCTGCTCCCTATCCTGGGCCACGTCCTCCTTGAACACGCGGACCGCGGCAGAAAGGTCATCCTTGCGCGAGATTGAGTACCACAAGCGAAGACCAAATGCTTGCTTCCAATCCAGGCCAAATCGTTCGGAAATGACAAATGACTCAATACGGTCATGAAGGGGAACCTCCTTTTTCCCTTCGCACACGCAAACGTTGCCGCTAAGAATCTCGTATATCGCTCGGACAGGGTCGGCGAACTCAGACAGGAAGTTTGCATCTTGCCACTCGCTGAGTTGCTCGCGCATGTCTTTCTTTGACTGATCATTGCTACCAATCAATGATACTAGCGTTGCGAGGTGGAAATTTTTCCCGTCGAGCAAGTGCTTGCAGGCATCTTGGACACGGTGGCCAGACAAGGCTGCAATGGCCTTCTCTTCGCTGGACTTTGCAAGAGAAACAGACCGTGATGATGCAGAGTCGACAAGCGCTGCCCAGAATTGGGATAACGTGATTCTACGAGACTCGGTGCTAGCGTCACCGTCAAAAAGAATACAAGCAAGATCCCAAACAAGCTTCTCGTGAGCATTCGCAGGGTTGCTTGAGTCCTGATCATGGAAAAGAGACTTGAGCGAACCAGGGTGCAACGACAACTTCGGGACGCCCCCAGTGAGCTCAACGTTGGTCAGGCGAACATGGTTTTCGAGGGCTTTAGCAGAGTCCTTGACGTATGTAAGTTGCTGTACTTCATGGCATGTCACTAGACGGGCTTACCTCATTGGAAAACTTAGCCGCCTGAATTTCACGTCCTTGTGCTTGGATAACATTCTTCGTGATCATCAGGTTGCTGGCTGCGCCTTGCTTGCCGGCATCCTCAAGAGACGAACGAGTCGATGTGAACAGTAGGGTTCCGTCAGGTCCCCAGGTGGGCCTCATCGAACTGTGAAAGGCGTGGTCGGCATCACTCATATCGGACTGGTCAACGAATGACTTGGTTTGTCGCTCGTAGGGCCACTAGAAAGAAATTCATTTTAGTCACTTGATGTCATCTTAAGTACAGAGTAGTCAATCAGAGCCCGAAACCGTTTTGCCGAGTTTTGGCAACCCCTAGACCATGAAGTATTCACCAACCTGAACGAAGCCTCTCGTCGGCGCGAGCGCGGGCGGCGCCTTTGCCTTTTCAAATAGCGAGTTCATCAGATCGATGCTTGTAGCGAATCCACGACCATCTGACACAACGCGGCCTCTCTGGCTTGCTGCATCGGCATCGTCGGCAGCTGGACGCAATGCTGTCTCGTTCACACTTCGCAAAAACGCCCGATCTCTCTTTTGAGGGCTGACAGATCTCTGAAGCATGTCCATCCACTCGTCTCCACCGGCAACCTGAAGTTTCATGGGAGTAGCCGAACCCTTCAGTGCCCGCATCCTTGCTCGAAGGATGCCTCCTGGTGTTTCGCTTGTTGGGGCAGTACCATCGCCTTCTGGCGAGTCGATTGGTTGCTCCGCGGCAAGATGGCGTCTGACTGGAGTACCCACCATGTCCTCATCCTCAGACGTGCCATATCCGTTGTCCTGATCGTCTGTCTCCTCTTCAGTCGACAGAATGAGCGCATTGGACGTCGAACCCGCGAAGCTATCCCCTAAAAAAGACTGGCGCTGGGAGCGGCGTTGAGAATCTTCGATGTCACCAAAGTCTTCATCACGGTGGTCGAATGCGCCAGGAAGAGCGCGTCGTTTGTTTCTGCGGAAGTCAAAGGTGTCGTCTTCCCGTGGGCTGGACTCTGAATCATACGAGTCTTCCTGGGAAGCATTGCTGAAAGAAACCTCTTCGTGGGGCTGCTGGACTGCAGATTGCTCGGGCTCGTCGTCATCCTCATCATACTCCAAGCCGTACGTGGTGAAATGTTCAACTGAAAACTTCCACACGCCAGTATCGGTGTTGTAGCTTTCAAAAGTCGTGTCTTCGATGCGCTTCAGGCGCTCAATATGCTTGTTGAAACGCTTGGCGTCGTTGCTAGGGCGCTTGTCTCTACCGCGAGGCCAAGACTGTTCTAGAGAGATGAGAGCCGGAACGTTCAGCCCCTTGCCGACAGGAGGCTTCTTGGCTGCAATGGGGTAGACAGTCGCGGACCGGGTTTCAAGGATGACGATTCCACCAAAGATCTCATCCAAATCAATATTGCTGAGGTCAACGGGGACCTTGAAGCGAACACTGCCGACGTTGTCTCTGCCCACAGTGAAGTTCGTGACTTGCTGACGCTGCATTCTGTTCATGTTGGCGAGAGCCTCCTTGGTCGGACTCATCCAGTAGGCACCGGGGGCGGCGTCGAGGCCCTCCTTATTGACTTCGGGTGCTTGGGAGGAAGTGTCCTCCTCATGGACGATGGCGAGCTCTTTACCCTTGCTGGGATCCGCCTCTGCGGAAGCGCTAGCGGGCTTGTTTCCGTTGACGTTAACATTGGCGGTAGTCGATTCTTGAGCGACGGTTCCGACTCTTGGGGTAGATCCCAAAACACTGTCGTTGTCGTCGACTTCGGGGGTATCCATCGTGCTGGTGTCGAAACTGACCCTCTTCGACAGCTTGCGAGAGCCGTTGACCAGATCGGTAGAAGGCTTTTCCTTGGTAGGTGTAGAGAAGAGGTCACTGCGCATGTCCTTGTTGATGATCAGCTTCTTGACACTTCCATTCTGGCCGTAGTAGCGGGGTCCTGAGCTAGCAGAGAAAGCACCAGGTGCAAGGATGCTATCCTCAGCGTTGAAGCTTCTCCGCAGGTTGCTGGTTGACACGCTCTTGCTCAAGCTTCGATTGAAGCTCGAGGAACCCAACAAGCTTCGGCTGGCACCGCCAGGGGTGCTCGCTGCGCTTGAAGGACTGCCACCGGGTGTACCATAGGTGCTGTATGAAAACCCAAAGCCACGCTTTTGGGGAGTGACGAAGCGAGCGGCTGATGCGGGGTTCAACTTATACATGGGCAAGATGGAGCTACGTCTAGGCTTAGACTTGCTTGAAAGAGGTGTAGCAAGAGGTCCGGGATTGGGCGTCTCTGAGCCTCCCAAGTTGGAGAAAAGCGAGGGTGAGCCGTACGCAGAGACGTCATTGATGTTGGCCGTGAGAGACTGAGGGCCTTGGCTGACTCCTTGGGAATTGCCCAGCAGTGAACCACCGAACAAGGAGTTCTGCGGTTGCTGTTGCTGCTGGTTAGCACCCCCGAACATGCCGCCCTGCTGTTGGTTGTTTTGTCCACCAAACATGCCGCTACTGGCGGGTTGGGATGAGCCAAACAAGCCGCCAGGCTTGGCCTGGTTTTGGGCTCCTCCAAATAGAGAAGTTTGTCCAGTCTGTTGCTGGGTCTGGTTGTTTTGGCCTAAGCCGCCGCCGAAGAGGCCGCCACCGGCGTTGTTGGTCTGTCCTGCCGGGTTGGATCCGAACAAACCGCCACCGGTAGCTGCCGGCTTCGCGCCAAAGAGACCACCGCCAGTGTTCGTGTTCGTGTTTGTGGCACCAAATGAGGTGGAAGAAGTGTTTCCACCGCCGAAAAGTCCTCCACCTGTCGTCGCGCCGCCGCCGCCTCCAAAGAGACCGCCTCCCGTTGCTGGCTTCTGCTGGGTGTTTCCGAACAGTCCACCGCCGCCCGTCTGCTGGTTCTGCTGACCGAATCCTCCGCCAAACGCCGAGCCGGTGTTCTGTTGCTGAGGCTGTGCTTGGTTGTTGCCAAACAGACCACCACCTGTAGCTTGTCCGGTGTTGCTTCCGAATAACCCACCCGAAGTGCTGGTGTTGCCGGCAGTATTGTTATTCGCTCCGAAGCCGGTGCTCGTGGTATTCCCGAAGCCACCGGTAGTTGCTCCAGTGTTTCCGAAGCTAAAGCCTGAAGGCTTGTTTTGGGTTGCGGTGTTGTTGTTCGAGCCGAAAAGACCGCCCCCAGTGTTGGTGTTCGTAGCCCCGAACCCACCAGTGGTGCCTGTGGCGCCGAAACCTCCGGTAGAACCACCTCCGAAGAGACCACCAGACTGAGCAGGTGCCGTTGTGGTCGCCGTTCCGCTGCCGAAAAGGCCACCCCCGGTCGCCGGCTTAGCGGCATTGTTTCCAAACAACCCTCCGCCGCCAGCGCCGAAACCTCCGGTAGATCCACCTCCAAAGGCGCCGGTGGTTGTTGCTGTGTTTGTGGTGTTGTTGGCTCCACCGCCGAAAAGGCCTCCTCCGGTAGAGGTGCCTGTTCCGAATCCTGTGGTTTGCTGGTTGTTCGTCGCTCCGAATCCGCCACTGCCAAAGTTGGAAACACCAAAGGCTCCTCCTCCACTGGCATTGCCGTGACGACGACCTTGAGCGTAGTCAGCCAACCTCAACTCATCGGATGACCACTTCTTGTACGGCTCCTGAAACAGGATGTTTTGGAACGAGTTGGACTGATTTCCAGCTCCAGTAGTCTCCTTCTCTTGGTGTGCTTGGAAGGGGGTGATCGCGGTGCCTGGTGGGTCGCCAACGTTGGATCCGATGCCAGGGTTCATCGTCGCGCCGAAGCCACCGCTGGTAGTATTCGTGGTCCCGCCGAACCCAGTAGACGTGTTACCGCCAAAAAGCGATGTGCCGCCGGTAGAATTAGTGGTGCCAGAGCCGAAAGCGGGCTTGTTGGCACTGCCGAATAAGCCACCGCCCGAGGTGCCTCCGAAAGGCGATGAGGTATTCGTCGTTGTGGTGTTGGCGCCAAAGCCGCCGAAGCCTGTAGATGGAGCGGCTGTTGTGTTGGTGGTGCTGGATGCACCGAAAAGGCCACCTCCGGTAGATGGAGTGGCCCCGAAGGCGGGTTTCGCGGCACCGAAGGTCGAGCCTGTGTTGGCACCGAAGCCTAGGAGGCACGTCGAGTTAGCATGTTACCGATGGAGCCTGTGCATCATCCACTCCTGACAGCGGCGAGATCAACCTACCCGATGATGTGCCGCCAAAAGCACTGGTTGTGCCGCCGCCGCCGCCAAACAAGCCGCCACCGGTATTGGTGGTACCGGTAGACCCAAAGGCATTGTTGGTAGTGTTGCCAGAGCCGAAGCCTTGAGCACACGGTAGTTAGTTGGCAGGCAATCGGGGGAGGAGTGGATAGGACAGGACGACAAGGTGAGGTGATGCGACGGAGATGGGATTCGACTTACCAGTGCTAGCGGTGGTGTTGTTGGTGGCCCCAAAGCCACCAAAACCAGTAGATTGCTGATTGTTGGTCGAGCCAAAGCCGCCGAAGCCGGTGCTGCCAAAGCCGGACATGATGGGCGATGACTAGCAGCGACGAAGTCGTGATACAGTCGTGGCCAGTTGATCGATGGCGCGACGAGGGCGTAGGTCCAGGCTCGTGGACGCAGTGTGTGTCGCCGACAATCAGTTGCGGACAAACATCCAGCGCAATCGGATCGGAGGGGTGCCGATGATGTTGATGTGCTGTCGTCGCGTCGGCGGAATCGATTGACGACGTGACTTGGGTGAGCTGTGTCGAGTACACCTAGCTAAGGTTGTGGTCGAGTTTTTTTTTGCACTTTGCGAAGCGCGCTGAGGAACGGAGAGATACGTGGAGAAAAAAAGGCTGGGGGGGTGGGAAGGGATGCGCGCTGCCCAGCTACTGACTGGTACGAAAGGGGCAGGGGGTTGAGCAGCCCGAGAAAGGTACTGGGGAATGCAAGTCGTCAAGACGTCGATCGAAGCAGCAAGACAACAAAAATGCAACTGTCAAAATTGCTGTCAAACTTGCCAGGTGAAGTTTTCCGGGTTAGTCGCGTGTGCCTACGGGAAGGGTGAAATGATTTAAGTAGGTAAATAGCCTTGAGCTCACGTCTCTTTGCAGAGGCTACTTCCAATGCTGGCGCGGTTGGAAAGCCCAAGTAGCGCAGGAAGCTTAGGTAAGGTGAGGTGGTAGCTCCCGCGGGCGAGATCTAGGCATGCTAGGTAGCTTCCGGCAACTGCTGCCTGAGGACAATGGCTGGCTCCGATTCGACAAACTTGTAGGAGCTTGGGGAAATCAACCAATGATCGAGCTAGAAATCTGTTCCAGGCAGTTGTAGGCAGAGCCACTCGCAAGTAGCTTCCGCCTAGTTTTATTAGTAATGGTACCTTTGCATCTATCACATCGTGGGCATAAAAGACATCCACGGGAACGCCTAGTAGGTCATCAGATCGCGTTTTCGCTATTGAGCTTGATTCATACACTCAAATGTATGTCTCCCAAGGCATATTTAACTACTTTATATCCCATTCCTTCGGTTCCAATTGGCCAAGTAATCTTGCGTTGAAGATAGGGAGAGTCTGGACCTCGTGCATTTGTCAGAAACCTGACGGCGCATTATGAATCCATGTCCAGCTGGTGCTCATTGATAATTCTACCTAGGCTGCCACACTCGGAATCACAAACCCGCCGCGCCCCTTTGAGAAGTGTAACACTAAGCAGAAATTTTGGCTGAGATGGTCACGCCGTGTAAGTGCTAATCGTAATCATCTTGCAAGCAAAGCACGGTACTGTACGCAATCATCATGAGACGGCATTAAACCCCTCCTTAACTCATCACTGGAAGCATGCCAGTGACAGTGTATGGGCTTGTGGTACATGATGTGGCAAGAGTTGCAAAGATCATAAATGGCTCATTGAAGAGCGCTATAGGCAAGCTGTATAAATGTAAATCGAAGCAAACCGCCGGCCAACTATGAACAGGAACAAGTTGAAGTCCTCTGACGGGTATGTGACCGCACCGCAAGTAAAAACCTCCGCATCCCCCAGACTCTAAAAATAAAATAAAAAAGAATCCTTTTGAACCTTATTGCAAACAATCATTGGCTCGAACTGTGCCAATGATGAAGCACCTGCATCAGCTTCGCAGTGTATCTCCTGTGACACGGTGGCCTAGAACTGAATGAGGTCCTGCGGCTGGGTGTTTTGCTGCTGTGGCCTTCCAACCGCAAATGGATTGTTACTGCCATTGATACCTGCGGGACCTGTGGCAGCCGGCATTTGCTGCCCATATGACATGCTGGGCATGCCTGTGAATTGTGATCGGAGGAACGGGTTGCTTCCAGTTGCCTCTGCAGTGAGTCGCTGGGCACCGGAGCCGGCGCTGTTGACAAAGGTCCCAGGTGCAGTGTGCTGCGCGGGAATACGTGTCTGGCCGGTGTTGCCGTATGTGTCCATACCGTCTCCCCCAGCAAGCAGGGCGTTCAGCTTGGCTTCGTGGTCTGTGAGCTCCTTCTGCGGAGTTCCGAAGGATGGCTGCGCTGTCAGTTGAGGTTGTTGAGGTTGCTGAGGCAGCGGCTGCTGTTGTTGCTGCTGCTGCTGAGCGAAGCTAGGCTGGCTGAAAGCTGAGAGTGTCTTCTGTTCTGGCAAGGGGGGCATAGAAGATTGCGTCTGAGGGCGGCCAAATGAAGACGCGAATGGATTGTTGGAACCCGTTTGCATTGGTTTCATTGGGTTGCCCGCCTTCATCGAACCGGTCGACCACGGATTATTGCTTCCTGGCTGCGAGGCTGTCTCCTGAGGCGTAACATTTTGCTGAGCGTAAGGGTTGTAGCCCGTTGGCTGCGGCTGGAAGCCTTGCATGCCCTGTTGCTGTCCGTACGGGTCCATGCCCAAGCCGAAACCGTTGCCGCCGTAGCCATTCTGGAACCCTGTCGCCTGCGGCTGTTGGTATCCGGTGTACGCATTGTTCATGTAACCGGTGGGCTGCGTCTGAAGTTGGTTCTGGTCGATGGGATTGGCGAAGAAGTCTACAGCGCTTCCTTGCTGGTAGCCTTGGTTAAATCCAGTGTACTGTGGTTGCGTTGACTGAACGGGGGTGTCATCAAAGAGGAGCGAGGCGTTGTTGTCTTCCATCTCTCGTCTGCGCCGTTCGTCCTCCTCTTTGCTAAGTTTGATCGCCTTAGCTAGGTCATCGTCCTCGGTTTCGTTGGCGCCACGGCCGGCTCGTTTTCGGCGGTCCTCTTCCTCCTGGTGCTTGCTAGCCTCAATAGCGAGTCTGTATTCGGTATCGTCCTCGTTGCTCATACGGCGGCGGACACGCGGCTGAGTAGGGCTGGTGTGCTGAGGAGCGAATTCTTCTAGCCCTGTGACGCGGGACTTCCATGACTTGCGATCGCTCCTTTCGGCTCGAAGCCTCTCTTCATCCAGAATGAGTGACGTAAGTTCCTTGGCGGCAACACGTACTGGTCACTCTGTTAGAAATCCCGAGAATTGACTAAAGCGAATGCACCAGGAATAGTAGAGGGGACGCGTACCGTTTTGACCAACGTCTCTGCCATCTTCATCGATGTATTGGAACTCGCGCAATGTCTTGATGATGTAGATACTCTGTCTCGCCCACGTCACGACAAGCTCGGAGCCCTCGTGCAGACAGTAGTCGAGCACCTTGAGGGCTTTCAAAACGTGCCTCCAGTTTTTTCCCTTGTCGTTCAAACGCTTGTCGAGCATGTCCATGATTTCATAGAACTCGGTAGATCTGAAATGTAATCTTTAGCGTACTCCCAGGGTTGACGACTAGGGAAATGCCTACGTGTTGTACGTGAGCTGAGCAATCTCGCTCATCTGGGTTCCGGTAGGACCCCATGGATCGTTACTGGTTGCTAAGAGGAGTGTCAGGATGGATTTCGAAGACTCAAGGAGGATGACCGCTCCTCGGGAAAGCTGCGACTCACCTTCTCTGACCTTGACCTGGACACTGGAGTAACCCTTGGTCACGTTTTTGACGCTTCGCATTACCTTCGACATTTTGGCGGTGTTGTGTTCGTCAGTCCGCCCGAGGGTGTTGTTTTGTCAGTGGGTGGTGTGCGATGGATTGGCAGGCGATGCCAAGTCCGGTTCCCGTAGTGTAGGGAGGTTGGGTATTGTTCGGGAGAAAGTGGACTGTCGGATGCGCTGGGAAGAAAGTGATGACAGCGATGCGATGTAGCTGGATGCGATTGGGGCGACAACGGAGAGCTTGAGCCCAACGCAGGCGATTGCTGATTGCTGATGCGACGAGCAATAGCACGAAGAATGATTGACAGTGTTGTAGGAAGGTTGGATAAGAGCGCGGCGAAGAGACAGGCTGATGATGGATGGAAGGCAAAGGTTGGAGGTGGGAGGGGCGCTTGTGACGACAGCTTGGTCCAACGAATCGAAGGGCGGCTGAGCGCAGAGCGTTGGCAGACGAAGGGTCGGCGGAGGGGGATGAACGGGTCGTAAGGCCGACTTCGCCAGTGGTTGGGGTGAGGAGGCAGGCCAGATGACGGCGGAAAGCGGAGCCCAGCAGACTGAGGGACGGAGACGGACTACCTAGCTGGCTACTGGGTAAATTTTGTCGACGAAGATGGCGCTTGTCTGTGCCTAGAGCGTCGCGATTGTCGGAAGATGGAAGTTCTGAAGATGAAGCATTAAAGTTTGTCAAACATGGGCGACTTGAGGAAGCTACGTGGAACTTGGAAGGCAAAAAGACAGAAAGGTCCCGGTTCGGTTGGCACTGGCACTGACTTTGACACTGGGCACTGGGCACTTGGCACTGGGGCGGGAGTGACGACCTGAGTGTCACACTTCACGTCTCTGGCGGTGCGGCGAGTGCGTGTGCGTAATGCAACTTGGCCGGGCGGTCGGAGACGGAGGCTGCGACTCGGAGGTCCAAGACTTTGGAGCACTGGAGCACTGGAGCAGTCTCCTTCCAGGTCTGTCCCACGCATAATAGAAGTCACCTTGGTGTGGAGCTAGAAGGCTGTGTCGGTAAAGGTATCCGTACCTTGCCCCGGCACAAAGTACCTACAAATGCCTTACCTGACAAGTACATAAGGTCTCGTCTCAAGGTACCTAGAATACATTCACCTGGATGGCAACTCAATTCAAAGAGGTCGTGGAGATCTACAGAAAATGCGAGACTACCGAGAAAATATGGCGTGAGTCACTCCGACTCAATGAACGTCGTCGTTTTGTGTAGCGGATGCTCGTACGTACTTCCATGTCGGTAGCGCAAAGCTGGTGGTATGCCTCGATCAACATGCGACAGGATGTGCTTCTGCACGTCTCCATTCCGACACGTACCTCACATGCTGCAGGCGATCAAAAAAGCTACCTACCTTACCCGACCTAGGTATTCAAGCATGTGCTTTGTGTTTAGGTACAAGTAGCCCCCATCAGCGACACCTCACCGACGGATACGCGGCTGGCGGATACCCTGATGCCGGTCCCCAACCTTGCCAACCTAATATTCGATACGGGCAGACATTTTACATCAGCTAAGCTACCTACTCCTCAGGCTCTTACTAAGGTATTGTTACCTTCATCGTTGCAGCTCTACTACATGTCTACACAATCACTTCCATCTTCATTCGGGCATGATATTCTCAGGAAATGTGTCGCAGCCTGTCCATCCTCTTGGTCAGGTAGTCAAAGACTTTACCACGCGCTTGCCCGTACGGAGAAGGCTTGTTTCCCAGCGATTGGATGAAAGCAACAGGAAGGTGGCCAAATCGGAGGCTGCCGCCATGTCACCAAGAGAGGCTGAGTGAATTTAGCTTCGGCTCCTCTACGGTCGACGTGCTATATAGGATGGGTACGGAGGTATCCTATCGCAAGGCCCTGTGAGGTGGCCGGAGACGTGTTTACAGATAGGAAGCGTGGCAGCCAATGTCTCTTTATAATCGAGCGGTTGAATGCTGAAAAGAGGCTACGGCGAGGTTCGCCGTGTACAGAAATCAGAACAAGACGCACCTTCAGTCAGCCACATCTCAATACTGAGTAATGTCCACCTCTGATTTAGGTTTACTTGCCTGCAGATATGTAGACAAAAGTCAATTATTATTTCAAGATGAGCATTTGTTGGCAGGACTACTGACACCTCTCTGAGCTACCTTCAGCCACAGCAGAGACACTGGCTGAATACTTCTCATCAGCTGTTAGTTTGACTTAAAAGAAGGAGACTAAAAACCAACAAATAGTTGCTGCGCTTGCATTACTAGAAACAATATGTTACAACTCGGCTCGAATGAGACTAGGAATAATAATAGTGTAAGGGGGTATCGGCTGTTTGGCATCACTCGTCCTCTACTTGGCCGCTAACGTCACCATTGAGGTCGCTTGCTGCTCCCTCGGCGCCAGCGTTCTCGTGTTCCCCTTCCTGAAACTGCACGCGAACCACATCCATTGTCTCATTGCCCTCGGCGGTGAGCCCTTCAACCTCTTCGCCATTAGTCACAGCAAGTCCAGCCAGCCGCTGTTTCTCTTGTTTCTCTCTAAGCCAGCCCGGCGGGAGACCAGGACCACTATCGGCATTACCATAATCGCTTTTCTTAGTACCCTTCGGCCAACGGCCCGGTCCACGTCCCGTCCCCCCCGTTTTACGCCGTGATGACGAAGATGAGCTTTTGCTCTTGGGTCGGCTCGATGTGGTCCGTCTCGCGCTGCTGCCACCGCCCGAACGTCGTGGTCTGGAGTTGCTGCTCGTTATTCGTGCTACAACGGGCCGTGGTACACTGGGTCGCGGCCGGTCGGACCGACGACCTCCCGGAGGCGGATAGACCTCGAACCTCGATGGAGGTATGTCTTTGTACAGGCTGGCCCAGTCGCCTCCGACCGACTGTTCGGGAGTAGCCCGGAGCGCTTCCTTGAGCTGGGAAGGCTCTTCATCAGCCTGTTCTAGGCAAGTCTCGCCGTTCATTAAACCGCCTGGATGTGTCTCCGTCGATTCATAAACGTTGGACTCCAATTTCGGCCCAGTCGCTTCTGTATCAGCCCCCTCAGCGATGGTCGATGGGCCGCCTTCGGCAACGGGAGGTTTGTCGACAATGCCATTGGCTGTTGCCTCCTGTTGAGAGGTTGGTAGCGACAAACTCTGTACAGGTTTGTGAATATCATCTTCTTCTCGTGGTGCAATCGCGCTGATAGCTGGACCCAACTCAAAGTTTGTGGCATTGCCTCGTCCCATGACGTACGGAGTCCAGGTGAGCGCGTCTGGATTCAATTTGACGTAGTCCTTGCTCTCCCATTTGGCTATGTACTCGTTACAGTACGAAAGGTCGACACGGAAGGCATAGAGCTCCGTAAACGGATCACGGACCAGGCATCGGAGACCTTCGAGGGCAGAGATAACGTCGTCAGGAGTCAGTCCTGTATCATCGGACATTTGCCGAACGCTGAGGCCCGGTGCCGTAGACTTATCCTCCTCGACATGGTCAAGGAGATAGCGGCAGAGTACCAGCCTCCAGTAGTTGCGGTAGGAGACGAGACCCATGTCCGAAAGAGGCTTTTCAGGTGATCCAGTCTTGCGCTCTACGCGAGTGAGCAAGTATGAAAAGTCGATCAGGAGATTGCCGTAGCCTTTTCGCTGGTGTATAGGCAGGGTTAGAATGCAAGAAACATTGTTCTGGCTGCTGGCTCTTTTCTCCTTGGAGAAATAACCAACAAAGTGGTAGCCAAGAGCATCGTACTCGCACAATACATAGAAAAGGAACGGCTCAACATCGTAGTAGAGTGTTTTGGACCCTAAGAATAGCTTGGCGAGGAGACAGAGATTCTGGCAGTATACGGGGTTTTTCCGGCCGTCAACCTCGAAGACAGAAACGGATCCATGCCGGTATATCTCGTCGCCCGGTGGGTGTTTGGCGGGGCACTTGAGTTTGTGACGCCAGGCGACATAATCCGAGTTCATGTACTTCAGACAGAATTCGCAAATGTAGAGAGTGCGATTCCGGCTGTACTCCTCAGGATAGGGAGCGGCATACCAAGTGTCGATTTCCCAGCCTCCAAAATCGATGCACTCAATCTGACTCGCTGGTCCAGCATTTTTCTTGGGCCTTTTGGCTGGTGTCGCTAGGTTGATTTGGACGCTGTGAAGACGAGCTCGCCATACCTCCTCGGCTTTTTGTTTGGCTTCATCGAATTTCCGGCGATCGTCGTTGGTTGGTAAAGTCCTTGATGTATCGGCTTCATTCTCACTGAGAATGCCTCCGTAGGGCTTTGTTCTTACGTCGTCGGTTTCCCGGTCCAAGAAAGAATAGAAGGGATGTGAGTAGTCAGTGGAAGTGAAGGAAGCTGCCATGGCTGCAGCCAATCCATCGTGGGACGAAGCGGTCGTGTCTATCACTTTCTCCGTTCTTCTTCGATTGGACGAGGACTTTCTTGACAGCACTCGGCGAAGGGCGGCTGGCTTGACACGCATCTTGACAATGGTGGACCGACCCCGTCGAGTGACAGTTACCGCTTTTGACTTTCGAGGGGGGTGCAGACGTAGCTTGCGTCGCGTATCCTTCTCCCCAGCTCCGTTGGGGCCCTCCTGTGCTGTGCCTGTACCATGGCTTGATTCTCTCTCTTTGGATGTGTTTCGTCGACGCTTTCTGAGCGACATGACGATTTCCTCAGCTTCGACAGAAGACGTCTTGCGCTTACGAAGAACTCGAGTTCCATCCATAGGATCGTCGTTCAAGAGAAGATGATTGAATACCGAGTGAGAGTCAGGTTTGGAGGTGCCTTTTTGGGGCGGAAGCAGGTCTCGCGCTACTTGGGATGCTGTTGACCGTCTAGACGATGGAGACAGTCCAAGTTCGTGCTCAGCATCTAGCCCTTGCTCAGCTTCGAGCTTTTCTGCATATTCGGGAGAAGCATTCCTTTGAGACTCGTCGGCGGGTACATCTTCAGCAGTCACACAATCGGGGCACTTCCACTGAGGAGCAGCTACAAGGAACAATTAGACATAAGAAGGCTTGACAGAGGAGGGAAGTATGTACTGTTGAACTCGTGTAACGCGC